CCACCTCTGGAGCTTCTAAACTCCTGCCTTGCTTAATGTTGAGCCAGTACTGGAGTCAGCCTTGGAAAGGCTGTCCTAACCTCCCCCTGAACCCTAAACTTAAACTCTGGACCCCAACCTGCCCCCAACCCTAAACCTTTGAACTCAACACCCTGATTCCTGAACCCCTGATAATATAAGTCTGCAGGCAAGTTGGTTGTTGGAGATGCTTGGGGCAGGAGGTTGCCATTACTCCGGGGGGGGGGGGGGGGGGGGTCTGGTGGAAGAGGCCAGCGCCTTTAAAAAGGTCCCAGGCCCACGCGGGATGACACTAATCGCGGGGTAATCAAGAGTCGACATTATGTGGCTTTTGCAGGACAGGACGCTCAAAAAACGCTAAAAAAAGCACCAAGGCATCTTGAATTTCGCACAAAATGGCAACCCGCTGCAACAACATGACCGTGGCTAGCCCCTCCCAACCCCCTCGGCCGCCACGCCCTGTTGGAAGTTCAGAGATCCCAGGGAATCTGTAGGCCACCAACTGCTTAGCCGAGGATGATCCAGCCGGCTTCCCCCTGACCTTCCGGTTCAAGCTGCCGCGGCGAAAGGTCCACCGAATAAAGCTGGGCATGAGCGCAGACTGTCGCATCCAAAATTGGTCTCTATGGGAGGTTGATACATACATACATACATACATACATACATACAAAGACACACCAGACACACAAGACACACAGACATACAGACATACATACTTCCATCCATCCATGAATACATCCATGCATCCATGCATCCATACATCCATACATACATACGTACGTACGTACGTATGTACGTATGTATGTATGTATGTATGTCCACATTATACGAGATACAGATGGATAGGTGCAAGTGTAGATATGTATATTCATACAATGTATACAAACATGCATGCATGCACGCATGCATACATTTACATGCACGCGCGCACACACACACACAGGTGCCCACCCACCCACCCACCCACCCACCCACCCACCCACACACACACACATACGCATGCACATATGTACATAGGTGCTCGCAAATACAGGCATACACATACGTGCGTGTTTGACGCACGACCGACCCCGACTATTGCGCATATATAACCATATATATATATACATATATATATATGTACGTATGTATGTGTATATATATATACATACACATATGCTACGGCAGAGGCCAAGAGCGAGGGAGAGAGGGAGAGGGAGAGAGAGAAATCAGATGGGGGGCAACCCCTGTGCTTCGTCTTATGTAAGTTAGTTGCCGAGTATTTGCTAGCTTGCGGTTTTACTGTACCTTCAGTATGGGGGTTGTTCAGCGGAGGTCCCAGCCTTTGTGGAGAGTGTCCACTTCACTATTCGCCCCACAAAAGTCGGGGGCGCTAACGTGCGCGCGGTGAGGGGGCTACCCCTTCGCCCTAGCCCTGGCGAAAGCAGGATGCAACTGAACCTTAACCGGGGCATGTGATCTCCGGGTAGATAGTTTATGTCCGTGCTCTTCTAATTTGTTATTTTATCCATCTACCTACCTAATTATCGACCTACCTATCTTCGTATCTATGTACTTATCCATCTATCCGGGTATCCATCGAGCTATCTACCTATCCACATATCCGTAGGAGTCTGTGGGACAAGCACATACATCGAGACGCGAATGCATGCATGCCGCATGTCCATACACATGCTCCAATGCATTACGCAGATAGAGTAAATTACGCACAGGCATACTTACAGGAAAAGGCACATACACAGATACATGGATACATATATAAACGAAACAAACAAACACACATGCATACATACATGCATTCACGTTCACGCATGCACATGCATATCAACAATAATCTAATTATAAGTTGACAGTGTACATCCACCCATACATGTATGGGTATATGTTTGTGTATACATCTATATATATATATACATATGTGTATATATATATACATACATACATACATACGTACACATGCATATGCACATTAAACTTCATGGGGCTTCAGGAGCAGCTGCAGCCAGATCCTTCCTCATTCCTGGCACTTCTGAAGTGCATGACAAGATCAGAATCGTTCCTACAAATTCTGGAACATCTAAATCACTGGAGTATCCGGAGGCGGCTGCGACGGAATCCCCTGGTGATGACAAAGAAGCAGAGCCTGCTCTGGAGGGAAAGGAGGACACCGGATTTTCGATGACAAGAGAAAACTCTGCCTCCAGCTTCTCTGTACGAGCTGCAGCGGGCCTACCGTCATAGTCTGCCATTTGCTTCAAGCAGGATGTCGGACACTATGTAGCTGCGGAGGGCGTTGATTCAGGGCTCTCATTTTGCTACCGCACAGTCATGGGGAGACCCGCTGTTTTGCATAACTGCCAAAGTCAGCGCAGCCCGCAGAAACCTTCTTTCCGGATCCTAGCGAGATGGAAAAGGATAGTTACAAAAAGTCACCCTGCAATGCGAGCCATTCCAGCATCCTTTGCACACGGCTCCTTGCATCGGATCAGAGGAGGAGGCGGAGGCGGAGGCCCACGATGCAGAGGAAGATGCCGAGGAGGAGCAGGAGCCCGACCAGGCTGAGTGTTGAAGGAAAGAGAACAAGGTTTCAGCCAAGAGTTCTTAAGAAGGGGACATGTTCATCTTGACAATAGAAAACTGCCTGCCTTGCGTGAGCGTGCAAGTCGAAACCTAAACTGTACTTGGAGTTTCCCCCAGCTGATCGGAGGCCACTGCTGAAGTTGTTGAGGTGCCAAAGCGTGCCCCGGAGGTCGCGGCTTTAGAGGGCTTTGGAGACGTAACCATGTGGTATGCAAAAGGAGATTATAGTCTAGCGGGGTATACTGTAGTCTAGTGAGTCTAGTATAGTTGTGCATAGTCGAGTCTAGTCTAGTACAATATTGTCCAGTATAGCCCATAATTGTCCAGCACAATAGTGTCGTATGGTGTAGAATGGTATAGTTATAAAGTCTAGCTTAGGATAGTAGTCAATATAATATAGCCATTTAAAGTTTAATGCGGGATGATATGCTACAGGTAGAGTGTACAGTAGACTGTAGTATGACATCTATCAGATGGATGTTCCTTCGCTGCATCCACCAGGACTTTCAATCAAGCTTCCCTGAAAAAGCTTATAGCCCTACCTGCATCTTTCCATGATCGTGTATGCGACCCGGTTCAGAAGCACTGCAGGCTGCGAGCTTATTGACGAAGTTGTGGCTTGCAATTCTGTCAGAACGGCACTGCACGTTTGAATGCTTCTGATTTGTGCTCCCAGTCTTGTAGGGACCCGAGGGATGGGGGCAGGTGCCGTTCTGTGAATCCGCTCAGCAAGTGGGCAGACACCAACAAAAGTAATGCATGCACAGGCACACCTGGACTCATGAGTAATAGTCATAAAGATGCGCCTATGCATCTACACATGTATAATATATGACATACATACACATTCCTTCATTCATTCGTTCATTTATTCATTCACTCATTCACACGTACATACATAGGTTCGCGGTGTGTGCGTGGCATGCGCACTTTGTCGGATTATGCCGCCTCTTTCGGAATCGAACTTGGTGGTCTTACCTGCGTGGCTGCTACATGCATACCGGCTATGTGCCGGGCAGATCCATTGAGCCCCGAAGCCAAAAATAAATACATATGTACATGCCTACGTGCATGCACAGGCCTGCCTATTCTCGACCTGCCCACGTACAACCTGCAGAAATCTACTCCCCTAGGGCTGCGCTTCGATCCCCACATCCAGCAAGGATCTAATTTCCCAACGATCCCAATCAATACGCCGGCTGTCCTGGGGTTGATTGTCTGTCAAGCAAGACGTAAATGGCAAAACACTCCTCGACCTGCAGTACCGAAGGCAGTCTTTCACGCTGATTAAGATAGCCTTGTACAGCACTCGTACTTATGGCCATGGCACTTGTAGCAAAACCAAAGAAAAGTTGCTGAAACCGGGAGCAGCGTTAATGTGCTTTCCATACGTTACTTGCAGTAGCAACTGGTGCTGCCCTTGGTGAGGACTGCTTACAGGAGCTGCTGAATCAACCAAGCCTCACAGTCGCCGCTTGCCTCAGTTCAGGTAATTAACCCTTATAGTAACCTCTATAGCACCAGGTAGTGTTGAAGAACCGGTGATAAGAAGAAAGCCAAGCACTCTCTCGCACGATCGTGGCGCTTTCCTGTGTGCTGGCAGTCATGAAGGTTGCTGGTCTATACTGGTCTTCGGCTGCTTAATCATCATCGCTATAATGAGTCAGTTAGCCTTCTACTATGCCATGATATTTCATTCGCCTGAGTTGTTGCACTCGAGGGGGGGATAGAGCTTGAGCTTGCGTAACGTAGTTGCTTGAGAAAGCTGCTCTAACTAGCCCGAACAGTCCGATGCAGCCACAGGTGTTCACGCATCCTCGTCCAAATTCAGTGCAGCTTCACGAGTGCTTTGGCGCCACGGGCAAGGCTTGCTGGAAGCGCTGCAAGGCTGGGCATAACACCTTAGACAGGCGGAAGTTCTCAGGAACATTGAGAACCTCACGCAATAGGATCCCAATCGCAACTATCCCTTAAAGTGCCCAGAATTTGCAAGCATTGGTCTTTATGGGTCTCGTCTCGAAGGTGCCCGGAGACTATGCTGAGTTCGAATTCTCGACTGTGCCTTGGGATGCCATTGGGGGCCTTGACTTTCCACGGAGGCTTGACATCTAAACACAAGGGCGACCTCGTCTGAAATTTGTGATACTATGCTGCCGCCATTGACATGTTTGCCAGCTGCGGCACATCCACAGCATGATTCCGGACTTCCTGCGCAGACCCTTGCCTGAGGATGGAGATGGGGGCGATAAGCCGGACAAGCGATGGGGTGTCTTGGCCGCTCGGCTGCACAACATGACACAGAGGTCGTTTTCCGGTGTCCCGAAGTGCCTTGAATTGTGTCCCATGAAATTCTTTGGAGGCTCTGGTGCTTCCCGCCACATCGAGTGATGATACGGGCTTGCAGGAAAAGGCCTTCCGATGCACTGCCTGCCAAAATTAGAGTCTCTAGTGGAGCCCTGTGGGATGGCTCATGACGAGAGCTTGCAGGCGGGATCTGCTGTGGTAAGGGGCGTCCCAACCAACACCCAGTGTGAAGGAGCTTGCATGTCCAAGAGTTCCAAAAGCAAAGTCGCAGGTGGATGAGTTCCTGGGTCGCTGGGTGGAGGAGTGTGGTCTTGGAAAGCTGAGCTGTTCGGGATTGAAAACACGACTGATTCGACGTGATTCTTCAGCCTCTCTTGTCTCAGCAATTTATTGGCGTGTTTCGACCCATGGCTGTCCTTACAGAATATGTCATAGACTGCAAGAAGAGCTGATCGGAGGAAGATGCTCATTTTTGTGGAGCGCAAATGCCTTGCTGACACTATAAGTTGTTCGACATATAAACTAAACACAAACATACCTCGGACAGAGAAATCGAGCAAGAGATGCCGACAGTGTCGGTCAGAAAGAAGATTCCCTTTAAAGCCACCCTTCAAAGCCCCTGGAGGAGCTACAAAGGGCTGCTGGGAGCATGGAGTCGCCCACGGCCGGGCCTTTTCCTGTTTCTTTAGGCTTGAAAGGGCCTTTCTCTAGGGTCCTTATAAGCTTGGCCCAAAAACCCTAAGAAGTTATTGCTATTGTTGCGGGGGGTCGTGGATTCTTAATTCATGGTGTCATATACTGGCAAATTTACCGCGAGAAGCCCCCAGGGGGACGGAGTGTCGGTTTCGGAAATGGCGTGTGGCCCATTTATACAATGGAAACTTCGTTAAGAACCGGAGTGATCAGAGAGCTAAGGCTAGGACTGCTGGTATCCTCTTGCAACTCGACCAAATGCGTCCTTACCACTCAAACTTCTTAGACGACGAAGCAAGATCCTTGAGATTCACCATCCGGGACATAGCGATCAGTGGATTTTTCAATATCGTTTTTGGCATTACAGGCCGAAGTTGAGGCCATGTAGGTTCACGCTACGTCGAACAGGTGGAGAGGGATGCCTGGGATGAAGTGCGTCTCCGAGCCCTTTGTGCTCGACACGGCTGGGAGTTCGAATGGATGACGGCCTTTTGGCGAACTTGGACTCCTACATGCGTGGTGGGAAGTGTCTCTGGGTCATGTCAACCTCCTCAGCCGGAGGCATCGTTTCCTCTTCATCTGTTCGATCTCTTGCGAGCAAACGAGACTCTTGAAGCCTTCTTTGTCCCGACTTCAGCTGGCAGGTTCAGGCAACAATGTGCATTTGTAACCGGCTTCGGGCTGGACTCTGGACGATAGGTTGTATCTTAGAGTAGGCTGCCGTGCAAGTCGCACATCGAAGGAAGATGGAGAGCGTCGCAGAAGAGCTCACGAGCACCAGAGCAAGCGTTTCAGAAGTCTCAAGTCGAAAGGGACAAGACTGGGTTTCAAACCTTCGGTGACTCAGGCAGTGGGACGTCCTCAAGCTCTCCACTCCAGCAGCTCCAGTTCTGCCCGGCGACTCCGCAGAGCCGGATGGCGCATCCGGCGCTCCCTGAAGAGTCTCGCTCGGCGTGTCGGGCCGAATCGCAGGCTGCACGCTGCAAGAGCCCGCAGAGCATGCCAATTGCAGCACCCGCGAAGCGGGGGCTGTGGCAAGTGGAAGCACACGAGACAAAACCAAGAGCCAGCAGACGTCTTCAGAGTCTCTGTTCAGTTTGAAAGCTAGAGACTTGCTGGCTAAACCCCAGGCCGGCTAATTAGACATCCTTGAGTCGAAATGCTGTGCTGTGCTTGCAGTCTTCGTCCAGCAGCAAACTTCGAGGCTGAAGCTCGGGAGTCTTGCGCTCGAGATCTGGCCGTCCTCAAGGACCTCGGGGCGTTTCCAGGGGGCCTCGGGGCTGTCGCGACTGACGTCAGTACGGTCTCGGAGGCCGAGTGCTTCAGGATGCTTGAGGTTTGCAGAAGAATTAAGAGTTAAACGTCTGCTGGAGGACGAGGAGCAGCGAGTGGCAGAGGCCGCGGTCTGGAAAATGAAGCATTGATGCCGGAAGAGCTATCATAGCTGTTATGTACCGCTGCCTGCCCATCACGACGATGTCTTGGAGCCCTCGCTCCTCAGCCTTTTGGCCGACATCCCAAGCTTTATCAGAATTCAGGTGTTGCACTTTCCGCCATTTTTGTCCTCAAATGCAAAATAATGTTCACAACAGACCCCTGGGGCCAAAACCACAAACCACGGAAACAGCCACATGCGCTCTTGAAATCGATTGTCCTTGCACGGCGTCGAACGGCGCACAGAATTCGAGCATCCAGTACAACCCTTGAAGCTGGCATCAGCTGGAAACCGCCTGCCTCGAATCCGTTAAGAGGCACGCACTTGGTATGCACAGACTGCAGACGAGCTGGAGCGAGATGCCGCGGTCCTAAGCGATGATGACTGCAGTCGCAGAACATGTGGCAGAATGCAGCAACGATTGGGGCAGGAACTGCAAGGTCATAAGTTAAGGACGGCAGCAGTGGCCATGCCAGCGATAGCAAATGCCAAGTAGGTCGCTGCCAAGCAGCACGAGCTCCAGACCGCAAAGTCGCATGCCGAGGCCCGCCCTGGCAGCCCCCATCGTTCCTTGTAGCGTACTAGGACATTGAACATTTCTGGCAGCCCCTGTAGCTGAGCTTTTTGTTTGCCACAACGACAGGAAATCCAGAAAGTGTGCAGCGAGCTTGTCCTTTCCTGAGCTGTTTCCTCGAGTCAGATCCAGAATCTGCTGCAGGCTTCCGTCTGTTACATTCTGTGCATGCGCCGTGCATGCGCATGCACATAAGACCTTCAAGTATTGGCGGCCAACCAGCTTGAGTTCAGGAAAAGACTCGAAGCTCCAGAAGAAGCCTGCTACAGGACAGCTTCCGTTCTGCCGATTCCAATACGTCAGGTCTTTGCTAGTGCCTGCAGACACAGGGCCCTTTGTGAGCAGAACAACTTCAGCTAGCAGCTAGAACTTGTTTGCATTGGCAGTGGAAAGGGGGGGCATTCCAAGCTTCTCGGAGATGCCGTCTGTTAATGTGATGAAACATGGCTCAAGATCTTAGGCATAAGGTAATAAAGTAGTATTCCTCCAGTTCGCACACGTTGCCGCCTTTCAATTTTTACATTTAGTGCCTCTGCCTGCTGCTTTGCGCTTCCGATGCCTTGGTTTACACTGTGCGGCTGTTGGCTGTTCAACAGGTTTGAGGGTTGGAGTACTCGGCGGTCCTAGGGACAGCCTTTCATGTTTGCTTTAACTCCCACCGTCCGAAGTCCGAAGGTTTACCTTTGCTAGCTTTGGTTGAAGCGTCTGTGGAAAGCGCTGGCTGCCACATGTCCCCAATCGGCGTTGAAGCCAAGCCAAGGCAAACACTTATTCAGACAGCTCCCTTGGCCTGCAATTCGAGCTCCATCACAACTGCACATTCATTCGTCTGGTTTTGGCGGGAGACTGTTCTGAGGAAAATCATCAAAGCAGAGGCATTTGTCATAAGAAGCGCGAGTTTGTTACGCGATCCTCATTTAGGCTAGGGAAATTCGATGTGCTGCGAGGGATCTGGCCGGGCGAGCTCAGTTCAAGCCTGTGGAAAAAGGCTAGGGAAATTGGGGTCCCAAAACCAAAGATGGGGCAAGCGCTGGGAAACGCATGGAGATTGCAGAGCAACGACTGGAAAGCAGACGCGGCATTCCTTATGATGTGATTCTTGGGCTGCTTGGACAAACATCGAGCAGAAACACGCAGAAGTACAGCAAACGGCGGAATTACGAAATATTGTATGGAATGTTAGCTGCTTTAGTTTAGAGTTTGGGAACCTGACAAACTGAAGCGAGCTGCGATCTTGTCAAACACTTCTACCCGGATGCAGAACGGTCGAAACTTGAAAGACTGTGCGCACAGACACACACACACACACTGACTGCGATTCTTGAGCCTTGAGTGCACTGCCTTTGCTACCATACATCGACTCGCGACCCTGCTCTAGACTGAGCGCCAGGATGCAGTGTGATGTTGTCTAAGATGGTCGTCCGACACGAATTCTTGGCAGATTGTCCTTGCTGTGAGGACCGCACTGCAGCTTTGCAGGCAGTGCTGTCCCCAGTTACGACCAGCGAAACAAGTGAAAGGGCATAGGTTCTTCCTATGGCCTAGTCAGCTTGCGGTGTTGCACCATTTGTGGAGGCATGTTTACGTGCGTTCGACGAGCACTGCATTGTCCGCAAATACAGTTGAACACGGCCAAAATGTCTCCGCGCAGAGAGGTTTGATAGGCTCTCACGTGTTCAATCTACACTGCACTGTTGTCGCGGCCAAGCCGGCCCAGGGCGCAAAAATCCGTAAACTAGCATGCAACAGACATGCCATGTGACTTGCCTCCTGGACCCTTTGAGGCGCAAGCCAGAGCGCAGGACCTCGAGGAAGCTGCCTACAGAACCGACAGAACTCTGTTCCGTCTTGGGCCTTGTTGGTGCCGCCTAGTGTCAGGAGGAGCTTGCGGGCACAGAGGCAGAGCTGGTGAGGGCCCTATACAGGTTAGCTTGCGTTGGTGGATGTGCAGAGAAGTGGATGTGCAGAGAAGCCAGCGCGACCGCGTGAGCGGTTGCACAAACGACGATGTTCATGTTTGACCATCGCGACGGTCAGAGTCAGAGCCCGCATTCTCGCTGCCAGCATGGCAAGATAGTCGTATTTTTAGATGCCGCCAGCGCTATATAGCCGCTATAACATGTTCCAACATGTCCTCGGAGCTGTGTGCCGGGTCCCTGCAGGCAACAGCCGCCACTGAGCTTCAAAGGCTCGAGAAGGACTCTGCCTCCGATCGCCTGCAAGTCATTTGCAACCTGATGGTAACACAGCTTGGAGATAAGAAGGTTGTGGTTCAACATGTGCTGGAAGAGATCAATGCCTTCAGAGCATTTGGAGGAGGAAGTGGAGCGAGCCACGGAAATTGAGGATGCCAGGCGGGACTTGCCAAAGCACTGACTTGGCCGCCATTCCAGCTGTCCCATGCCTGCTAAAGGACCAGGGCAAGTGGCTTGCTCGAGTCGCGCATGTGACCCTCTGACCTTTATCAAGCATGCGAAGCAATCGACCCTGGAGGCAGAAGTTGTCTGAGGTCCAGATGGAGATCGAGACTATGCAGGCCCAGCCCAGGGCCCCCGCGTCCTGTGATCGCAGAATCGTCGTGAGCCAGACAGCAAGCTTCGCTCTGGCAAACTTCAAGGGCTGCACAAGTGTTGCTGTCAGCACTCCATCGCGGAACACCCCTGCATCGCAGGCACGTGCCCAGACGTCCAGGCAGGGCGTTTGAGCTGCAAACCGAGAATCCTGCAGTCCAATGGCATTTGCTGTATTGAAAACGGATGTGTCTAAGCTCGCTGGTGAAGGGGATGCATACGACTGCCTGCAAAGTTTTGCTCAAGATCAACACACGCTGTTGTCGATTTTCTCCCGTGCTCGCTGAGTCTCCCGGATGCAGCAACTCCGGGCTTCCAAAAAGGCAGTCTTGCTTCTGCCCTGTCTCAGATTCTGAGACTGCGTGTTGGCACATACTGGCATTCATCTGGGTTCTAGACAAGACTAAGAAGTCGGGTCAAAATGGTTGAAAGTGTTATCTATGATGGCATGCAAGTTGTCAGCATCCAGCCAAAGGCGAGCTCGTGAAATCTTCACGAAAGCCGCACCCCTTAGCTAATCCTCTCGAGGGCTCAATCCTCCCATTCACCCAGCTATGACATTCGACACTGACCTTTGAACATAGTCTCATGACACCTTTGCCAAGAGATATCTGACTACCTCGAACTTTCGGCGCGGGAGTGCCTAAAGTCTAGTGTCATAAACTACGAAGATGTTCTTGTGTTTCTGACCTCGTTTGACTTTGCACGAGTGCCGTGCGATGCCGACCGTCGACGGAACCCTGAAGCCTGTCCTGAAACCATGAACTCTACTGAGTCTTCCCAAGTGAATCTGCGCAGCGTTGCCTAGGGCATGCAATGCAGCACAAACCCGAGTAACTTGAACCCTAAGGTTCACCGCCAAGACATGAACTAGTAGCAACGCCGATTTATGCACAAATTGCTGCTGTCAGACTCTTGATTGTAGTCCTTCGGACCTTCGCTCAGAGAGCAAGCATGGACCTGCTTGCAATTGCGACGAAGATGGCCCCGGCCAAATGATCTGTTTTCAACAGCCCGTGCTCTGGACAATCACAGCACAGCCACAACCTAAACCCGCCAAACCTGAAACACAAAGCGGGTGTCAATCTCTAGACGCTAGGTCTCCAAGATGGCTGCCGCCGATGCAGTGATGCCCGTGAGCCTGCCGACTGGCGCCGGCACGCGCGAGGCGAGATGGGGTAATCTAACAGGAAACACAGTAGTTCTGTTGAGTGCGTGGGTGAGTGAGTGTCGACCTGGGCGAAATTCGTCCCTCTCGGCTTCTTTGCCTCTTCACATGCGGCATCGGGGCTCCGGTGCAGATCTCAACGCTCCCAAGTATTGGCGAAGGGGTGCGCCACCCGAACCTCCATGAGCCTCCATGGGTGCAAGCCGGGCGGCTTGCTCGCCTGAGACAGGGCATCGAAAAGAGGGGTTGTCGAGCAAACACGCACACACGCGCAGCATTGGCCGCGATTTCAGCCAATGCCAATGTCCATGTGGCTGCAACTACTCGAACAGTATCCCATTTGTGTGTGGGGCGATGACTGATCACACTACCCCTCGACCAGTAGCAGTTCTATCCACTGGCACAACACGAGGTTCTGCATGCTGCAACGGTGTGCTGAGTATTGCTTAAGTTGGATTCGGCACAGCTGCCACGACGGTTAACCCTCAAGTCTACAAACCAAGATGTCCTGAAGGGAAGACAAGGTCGGACAGACAGTCTTCAGGCTGTTTTGAGTGTCAGGAGTTGTCGCTCTCCAACTCGTCAAGGCACGCCTTGTCTGGAGTCTGCAGGTGCTGGATGTGGGCTACCCTGTCCTGAATCTCCAGAAACTGGACAATCCACAGGCGCAAAGTAGGAAGGGAGAAGTTCAGGAAAATCCTGGGGAGGCGTTGGCTTCAGGGAGTGGTTTGTAAGTTTGTGAGAATTGTCAAACTTGAGATTTTATGTTGACAGGAGCTCAGTTGCTCTTTGTAAGCCTTGAGACTGAGGATCCCCGTATTCCTGCCTTATCACAAGCTCGCAAAGGCAGAAATCAACAGACACTGCGCTTGTTATCGTTGCCTAGTCGCTCAAGAATTTTCCATGTGCTCTCAGCTTCGGTTTTGCATGTCAGAATCATACCAACCACCTCTTGCTTGCAGCTCCTCCATCCCGGTCGGGAGTCAGAAGTTGCTTGAGCTTGATCCCGCACTTTGTGAATTGAAGAGGCGCGCGCACACAGGCCCACATGCCACCCACCAACGAAACCGTACAGACGAGAACATTCGTAGACAGGCCCAAGCCGTCGCACTTTGAAATTGACCAAGCATCGGCAGGTCTCCATCCACCAGTGTGCTCAGCGCTATGGATCGCAGGCATGGAGAGTAAGCTGTGAACCTGTTCTGATCGGGGCCCTGCTGGCAAACAGGGGTCCAGACATGCGGTCAGAATCAGTGCGAGCCTTGGCAGGCCATCCGCTCCATCTTCGACACTGGGCATTATGCGCTGCTCTATGCGTGCCTTCATTTCCGTATGTACGGACAAAGGAGCACACCCAAAGGCAGAAAGAAGCATCCATGCGTGGCCTGTACATGTCTGCGTTTGCAGACATAATATACGTAAACATAGGCACAAACAGTCACAAATCACAAACACCTGACGGACATGTATGCACACATGTACTCGTATGCCAGTGCATCCATACAAACATATGCATACATGGATAAAAACATTTGCACGCATGCACCCGTGCATATGTACATCGACGTACAACATACACACACACACATAATATACAGACATACATGCATACCTACATAATGCAGGCATCCTCACAAAAAACAAATTAAACAACGCAAAACAAGCAGCAAAACACAAAACACACACCACACCCACCCACCCACACACACACACACACAGACACACACCATGCCACAGCACGTATGCAGATGCACACAGACAGACACGCACGCACACGAACACACAGACATACCAAAAAAGCGTCGTCTGCCTGTGCAGAGTTGTTGGTGCTCCTGTGCGTGTAAGTAAGTATGCATATCTAGATGTTGTGCATCTACAGCGGAACAGAAACAACGAGCATTAAGTACACGGTGCATACACGGTTGGGCTCCAGGGCATTTCGGACAGAAGCTCCAGTGACCATGCAAGCTCCCTCTGGCCCAGCTTCCCCAAAAGTAATCGAAAGAAACTTGCATTTTCTACGGAAGCTAGAACTGTGCGGTTCAACAGTCAGTGGATGGTGTGACCTTTAATCTGAGGAGAAACTGGAGGAGCGTCAGTCCCAGCCCGTGCCGGGCACCTAGATACACTTATTTGACACGTGGAAATGCTTCTTAAAAGGGGCTCGCGAAGAAATTTCGAGGCAGTAGGAAGCGCGAATTTCTTCTAGGCTGGACGTCGAGTCGTCCGGCTGGCACACGATTCCATGGTTTGTAGCTTCTTACCTCCTTTCCTTCCTCGATTTCAACGACTGCTTGCTGCTTGAAGCCTCATTGGGCTCCAGTGAGGTTTGAGGAACTCAACCTCTCCGACAACTACGTCGGAGATGATGGCCACCCGGAGTGGTTGGAGTGTGTGCAGCATTCTTTGTTGTCCTTGGAGTTTCTGTTTGGCTAGCATGCCTCTCCATATCCAGGGCATATTGCACAGCCATCTTTAATCAATTCACAGCGACTACCCTAGCTCTTCTCTGGGATGGGGCTCCCCCGTTAACGTTGTCGCTGTTTGGACCGTCAAATCTTCGCAATGCGATTCAAAGTATCGGCCGTCACATGGATCGGGGCTGTTTGGGTCGGGTGCCGGGAGGGGGGGGGGGGTACAGGGACGGGAGACCCGCAGGCAGTTGTTTAGTAAGTTGAAGCAGCTCATGGCCTAAGCTGCGTTTAAGTTAATGCTGCTCGTGGTGATGATCGCCGATGATCCGACATGGCGAAGAAGATCGACGATGACAGTGAAGATGACGATCGTCGTTCTTGGATTCGATCTTATGTCCATGCGATGGAAGGCGCTGCCTACCTCAAGGATGGTCTTAAGGGCAACAAGGCCCTCAAGCGACGCTTGGCGGAGAACTTAGCGGTGAGGCTTGAATTTAGGTCCGTAGAAGGCCGGAGCCAATCTGCGGAAGTCTTATCCCTAGCTCAGTGAGTTGTACGGGTTGGAGGTCAACCTGACAAAGTCAAGCCAGTTGCATTCCGGCCCTCCGCTCCCTGCTGCCCTTAGGTTTGCTGATGCCACGTGCTGCCATGCGAACTGCCGGATTTCAGTCCATCGGCGCTCTTGTCGGCACCTGCCCTTCTCTCGCCGCTCGGCATTAGCTTATACAAATATACAGTCTGTCATATATATATATATATATGTACATGTATATAAATATATACTATATACACAATCACATGTTATATATTGTATATTATGTCTTGTTTTTTATCATATCTTATTTAATTGTCCTTCCGCACCCTTGCACACGGAAGGAGATGCTCGTGCTGAGCTCAAACTTGGCCGATGCGGCAGGCGTTGAGGGCGATTTCTCCGCAGGACAGGGGGTGCTGCATGTCAGGATTGCACAGCTTGAAGAAAACTCAGTGTTTTCTACACTGGAGCCACAGCTAACTGACCCTCAGGGGATCAGAAAGACATGCTCGCTGGAGCTTGACGGTTTTATGTTCAAGGGGCTTCAGCCAATTTCAGCTGCAACTCCCGGTGAATCAGGAGCCAAGCGAACAGCAAAACATTCAACAACTCCCCAAGACTTCCAGGCAGCATTGAAGTGCAAAGCACAAATTCCAAAATCTCCGTGTGCAAGGGGCATAGAATTCCGAATGCACTTCAATCACCAGGACTTGGCAAGAACAAGTCCCTGAAGTCACTGTGCTTGGCAGCTTGCCGCCTGAACAACGCAGGCGCCGTGCAGAGTTGAGTAGAACCCTTCAGAATGTATCTTGGATGATCATAACACCACCAGTGACTCAACAACCTTCATAGATCTGTATGCTCCCCATTCCCCCCATATCCGTACATAAAACAGCTTTCACATAATTAGGCACAGAAGCTCACCCATCGAGGGAGGGAGAACCGGCACTGCTCAAGAGTTATCCTTTCTCGGGGGCTGAGGAAAGCCCACGATTTACTGTTTACTCCGCCTGCTGAACATGGCCAGGTAGTAGATGACGGCTAAACAGAGACATGTGCAGTCGAGAGGTTGGCTTAGATGTAGATGCTTCTCGTTGCGACAGCTATGCGCTATGCCTGCCGTGGATGCGGCAATGGAGCCTTCACAGCGGGGACATTCAAGGCAGATCCGGAACAGCCAGATCCTGTCAGGTGTTCAGCATCTTTGCGCTGGGCCCCTGATGACCCATCCTGCGCTACCTGGCTCATGATCTCTTTCAAGCTGGGTTTAACCTCCCGGATCTGCGACTGAAATGTTACTTAGAACAGAGGGCGTCTGCCGTGGCACTCGTTCGCACGTGCAATCTTGGCAGGGCAGATGCAGAATGGTACACGGCAGAGCTTGTATAGCATATGCAGGATTGGAATTAACCTAGAGATAACTTGGTGCTTGCATCCACCGGTTTTCGTTTCGCAGCGCCGCGGCTCGCCGTGCAACACAAGAACTACATTCGTCAGGTAGATACGAGCCTCAGATCGCAAAGCCAAGGCTGGAGCACGTGTCCTTCAACTACAATCGGCTGGAGGATGAGGTTTGCAGCAGCGTGTGCAGGATGCTTCTTGCTTTTCACTTACAATGAAAGCCGGTTGTGCGGGGCGTCGCAGGGCAAACCTTGACGCATAGATAAGTTATTCTAGCCTATTGGCTGCATCGCACCCTTGGTGGATGCGATAAGTTGACATATTGCATGTGTTGACACAGCGACAATGATGAAACAATAAGATGGCTACGATTGACTTTTGGCTGCAAAAACTAGCATAGAGTCTGGCATAGAGATTCACATGAAATCGCAGAATGCAGCGTTCACATTGGTCATGAACACGGACTCCCTCTACTCAGCTTCTCAACTGCGAGGTCCGGTGCAGTCTGTGTTGCTTGAGATTGAAATGCAGCCGGCCTCAAGAAACCAAGCAGCCCAACACTCTTGGTTCCTGGATCCTGGGGCCCCGGCACCACTGAACTAAATGCTAAATGCAGCCGGACGGTATGACACGACATACTGCAAGACTGGACGGTAAAGGGCTATGTTATGACGCTACCAGCTATCAGCCAGCAATGCTTGAGCACCGTGAACCATATACTGCCCATACGATGTTTGCTCGTAATGTTTGTGTGTATATCTATAAATTTACAAGACTATGGCATGCAGCAGAATGTAATGTCGTTATAGACACATCTGTAGATATACGGGAATATATACATATTTAGACATAGATAAAAGCTAATGCCAAGTTAGGTACCGAATCCTTTACCCAACTGCGTAGTTTGTTTGAGAGTTTGGGTGGCTCGGGCCCGAGGTTGGCGACGAACACACGGCTGCGCTACCTCGAGCTTTGCGGCAACTCCATCGGTCCGGCAGGTGCCATGGGCCGTTTAGTCAAAGAAGCCTTGCTAGGCCAACCACATTTTGCTTAAGTTGCTTACCAGTTAGTTAGTGATGCTTTCATGAAGGACATAACGGACAATCCTGGTGACAGTTCTGCATAGTTATGCTATGCATGCAGGTACATCTGCTAATGTTGTGCACGTATGAGGAAAATGCGCTAAACATCAACGTATGCCGGAGTTCAGCCGTGTAGAAACCCTGAACCCTGAATGCTCCAACATTTGTTTCACGGCCGACTGCAAACCAGGAAGCTCCTCTGGCGAGTGCCAGTGCGAGAGCCTAAACCCTAAATCGAAGCCTTGCCAGCTGCGTGCGAGAGTGAGAGTCGAAACCGGTTGTAGCCTGTCCACATTCAATCATGGCAAGAGCGTCGCCGAGAGTGAGCTTTGAGACCCTGAGACGTTTTGCAGGTGCTGAGGAGCTGGTCAAGGGCCTCTCTGCCAACAAGGGCAACCTACAGAAGCATCCCGATCAGATCGGTGTTGGGTTTGGGGTCAAAGGCGGTCCAGCGTGGCAACCGAAGAATTGAGAGTGACACTAGCAAGAGGCCATGTCTTGGCGTTTTTGGGGAGTGGTGTTACCTGGGACATGTCTCATTGTTTGAGTTGGGGGCAGGTAAGTTGCCAATGGGCCTGGCAGAGTCGCACTTTGAATTTTCCCGTCGTTTAGCACACGGGTTCTTGTCATGTCACCCCAGGTCCGAGCTTGGAGTTTGGCAGGGGGTGCTGGTAGAATCCGCACAAGGGCTTCTTCAGCTTCTTCAGCTGGGACCCAGGGGTTTGGTGGGACGATTCGCCCCTAAGTGCCTCCGACAGACCAACCGCCTGAAGTGCTGCACCGCGCCGCGCACCACCACCACCACCTCACGATGGCGGATTCCCACATCAATCTAGGCAAGTGCTCAGTGGGAAACATACTAGCTAGCAGCCCCTAGCCCTTGCACGGACAGCAGTCATAAGGCTGGGACTGGCGCAGAACACCATCATGCAGAAAGGATGCACCGCCCTCTGCAGCCTTGCAGCACAGAGTCGACGATACCATGTAGCTCTGTGTCGAAGGACTCGAGACCGTCGGCCCGATAAGGTGACGACCTGCGGGATTTCCAAGAATCGGATGGAAGCATTGCTGTCTTGACACTTAGGATCAGGTACTCTTGTTGCTGGCTAGGCGGATCCTTAGTTTGGCGGGAAATGCCGCGAGCAGGAACAGACTTAGACGCAGGCGAAGTTATGAACAGCTGGAGTGTAAAGCTTCATGTTGCCATCGCTTTGGCAGACACTGCATGAGGAGGCGGGTGGCGAAAGGAACACAACAAGACGTACAGTTCGGCAACATAGACTTTGTTCGGCACAGAGGTGCTGATTCCTACTAGCTGAGCAGGCATCAGGATCGAGAGATCGTCCGACTGCTGCGACAAACGACCCAGCATTACTCGAAATCTGCGAGGCAAGCATTTCGTCTCCGAGAAGGGAAAGAGCCTTGAGTATCTTGACCTGCGCCACAACAAAGTTGGTGGCTTGGCTAAATCAATCTGAGACTGGAGGCTGTAAGGTGAAAAGGTGGGTATACGCTATAAAACGCCAGTTGCACTTCGTCATGTCACCTTTATTGAGTATCATGATATACATATACATATACATATATACATATATATATATACACACACGTGCACATACACACATACATACATACATACATACATACATACACATACATACAAGTATACAGCCCATATATATATATATACACATAGTATATTCACGCATATATATATATATATGCATGCACTGAGTTATACATGCTTTGTTGTGTGTGTACGTACGTACGTACGTACGTACGTACGTATGTATGTATGTATGTATGTATGTGTGTGTGTGTAGTTTTGTCTGTCTGTCTGTCTGTCTGTCTGTCTGCCTGGCCGTCTGTCTGTCTGTCTGTCTGTCTGTCTGTCTGTCTGTCTGTGTGTCTGTCTGTAGGTATGTATGTATGTATTTATGTATGCATATATACACAGATCTTTCGTGTGTATATGTATGTATGCATGTATGCATACACACAGAGATATATACATGTATATATATATATATCGATATACATGCAGATACAGATACAGATTCAGATATAGACATAGATATAGATATAGATATAGATACAGATAGATACATAGATAGATAGATAGATACACAGACATACATGCATATATATGTATGTATGTATGTATGTATGTATGTATTTATGTATGTATGTATGTATGTATGTGTGTGTGCGTGAGTGCAGGTGTGGTTCGAATCCGGCTGTAGTGAAGAGCATGCTTCCAACACAGGAACAGGGTTGCCGCATGATGCAGTGGTGATCTGTGAGGCTACTACGGTTGCGTGGAGATCCGAGCTATGTTGAAAAAGCCCATGGATGACGACGAGTCGAACAAGGGTTGGATGATCAATTTCGGTGAAAGACAGCTCATGCTCAACGCGCACTGAGTCTCAATCCCGGGCTGCAACTGAATAATTCTTACTCACATATGCCAGTGCAGTATTCGCAGCATTTCGCAGCACCATGCTAGAAAAAACAGTCAACTCTTACTGTTCACATGAATTGCCCAATCAACGGCTGATTTCGGCCGATGCCACTGGCAGATGCCTGGGAATCTCAGTCGCAACAAGTGAGTCATCAGGATTTCCTGCAGCATGTTTTGACGTTCTTGCATTCCTACAAGGGTTCCTTCGGTGTCGGAGTGGTTTTGGCATGGCTTGTTCACCGTGAGACTTGTCCAAAGGCTTTGCGGACTGCGACTTGTGTGATTCCAGTGCGCTCAGGACCCGAGCAGCTGAAACTTAGCTACTTTTTTCGACATCCGAGTAGCATTTCTTCCATGCTGCAAATCCCGAGCGGGAAGTGCAGGCAATATGACAGCTCAGCCAGCATCGAAGCACTTGTCATGTGAGTTTTTTGTAGCTCAAACTTTGCAGCCTGTCGAGCTCTCGTCATAGCAATTGCTGTGACTGAGCGCTTTACAATCGAGATGAGCCGCCTGCCAGCCGCACTTGCGACGTACGTCGCCTAATCCCCATGCCGTGCAATGCCGGCACCTGCAGCTTGGGCTACCAAGTCTCTGAGCGAGCCTGCAATGACTTGCCATTCTAGTCAGTTGCAGCCGTTTCGATGCCCACATCACTGTACATTGCGGCTTGCTCTGGGCCTGTCAGATGTGTCATCTGCGCCGCAGCGCGTCATGAAAGAAGTGAGCAAGTCCCGGACGCACATGCTCGAGTATAGTCAGCTGTGTAAGGGCACGGCTGAAGAAGGGAGAGGGAAGGTGCAAAATTCTACGAGAGAATCCACAGAGTTACGCGTAACTAAGATCAGTGTATTTCCCCAAACCACAACAGAGTCAAGCAAGCATTCCTTTGTGCGACCAAGCCAGTCCTTCAGCAGTCTTGAGCCAAAGCCATTCGGCATAGTAGCATTCGATAATGCATCATGTTTATTTGGGTTACATCGGGCACGTGTCGTTTAAGGGAGGGAGGGAGGGAGGGAAGGAACGCAAAGAAGACAGGAACAGATACTGTAATTGTACAGATAAATAGGCACAGACATGTATCTCTGTGCATGTGTTTCTTGCTGACTGCCCGCATCCAAGTGTGGCTTAATGACAATATAGAACCTGCGACGAAGCGATGAAATCACAGCAGCCTCCCTGTGTCATGTTTCCCTCTTGCTGCCAGGGTGGATGATCTGGAAGCCTGTGGCTTAGCTTAGACCCGCGGCCCATGCCCCGCAAGATCCATTTTGGCGAGAAGATGGTGGTGTTGGTTTGGAGAAGAATGCTTTCCTCGGCCTTTTCCAGAAAATAACTAGACATGCCAGTGCAGCTAGCACTGAATTCTTCAGACAGATTTACTGAAGGATGTGGAAGCCGACAGCACCGTGCAACTCTGCAAGCCCGCACCCGCAGCTGCACCCACCCACCTCACCCAACCACAAACACATCCGCGCACACACACACACAAAACACAACACAAACATACACACCCACAAACACACTTATTTACTTACTTACTGCATGATGCTCGCACACCCCTGGCGAAAAACAATTTCAGCCGCTTTGCAAGCATGAGTCCAAGCTAAGCTCCCAGACACCAGGCGACCTCGCGAGCTCTCGCGGAGAGCCTGCAGAAAGCGGGACAAGAGCCCAGCTCCTGGAACTAGTAGATCACTAGGCTCGCGTTTCGGAGATGAAACTTCTGCAATGCTACACCCGTGGAAGCTGGATGACGGGTTCTTTGCATGGCTTTGCTGACTTCCGAAAGTGTCACATCACCAGACCGCTAGCCGGCGTTTCCATAAGTATCAGACGATGATCAAAACAGAGCGGTCAGCCGTGATGATGCCGTCTCGAAACAGCACCAGGAGCTGCGCATCGTGTCTATACTATACGATTCAATGAAACTTAACTTAGCGGAGCACCAAGGCGGACAGCAGCCAGAGAGAAACAGGACGCCTTGAAGGTTGCACGGAGCTCAAATGGAGCAAAAGCAACCACTTCGTGTGGACATGAGATCAGAGGCATGGTCCACCCTTGTGCATTTAAGGAGCTGCACGAGAGCGAGTCTGACCTCAAGAAGGCAGAGGCAGCAAGCTGTTCTATCGAAAATTGCATGTTCTGTAGCTGGAGCCCATCATCGCCTGTCGCAGGCCCGGGCGTTTTTGCTCAAAGGCGGCGTACCTGTCTAGAGCAGGAACCCAGAATTCCCATGAAGCCATGGAAACATGGTGCTTTGCAGCTGCTTTGCTTTGGTTGACATGGCCTGCACTCGGCAGCATCGAGCTCCTGAAGCCAGGCTCGTTCCTTGGCCCTGACCCCTCGACAGACACCCCTTTGCGATCCTTTAACGATGGTGTCATGAAAGCCTCTCAACGACACGTGTTTTCCAAACCATGGCTCCCTCGTTGAATCTCGATTTCGCAAGTACTTGGAGAGCGGAGCCTTGTACCTGATCCTCGAGAGTTCACATTCTTGGTGGATCACACGAGTCTTGCCCACTTGCTCAATTGCACTTCGTGTGGACCTTGCTTTCATTAAGGGGCTGCAACTCGCCTTGACTCTTCTCCTCCAACAATCTTCAGTCTCTAACGAACTGCCTGCGGTGCGACTTGGTCAGCTGGGCGGGTGGGGAAAACATTTGCACTTGCCATGCCAGACCAAAGGTTTTCGGCTCTTGGCTTCATGCACGTTTTCAAGTCTGGTGGCTCGACCTATGGCGTTGCTTTGGCAAAGTATGCCCGGGCACACCGCATGCCCTTCTTTACAGACATGAGTGGCTTGGCCCGCATACGATTGACCTTCCCTTCCCATGAGGATTTGAAAGCCCCGAGGCCATAAAGTCGCAGAAAATTCGCGAAAACATCGCCTGAATGCTAGTCCCGCGCTTCAGCAAAAATTGTTTGCAGCAACAGCGGAGGTAAGCGGAAGGAGAAGGTACAGCAACATAAGTGGTAGATCGAAGCCACAGCGGGCCGTCCGATCAGCAGCAGAAGCAGCCGCACCAGCGGTAGTAATAGGAGCGGTCGTCGTCGTCGACCCCATGAATCGAGGTGGTAGTGGCAGTAGCTGCACCGCAGTGGCTGTCGTTGTAACACCTGGTGGTCACGGCAGCAGGAGGAAGAAGGAGCAGCACACGAGCACCAGATGTCGAATTCGTCGTCCGCCTCCATCTCTTCGTCATCGCGTTAAACACTGTTTGTGCCTCGCAGAGCGGATGTAGCAGGAGTAAGAGTGGTATTCGGAGGACTAATCCAAACGACAAGTTCAGAAGACGTAGTTCTGAAAGTTGCAACATATCACACCTACGGTCAGCACTGAACCATCTTCCCTCGCCGTCGCCATTGCCACCCTTCTTCCGCGTCCAACTCGGGCATGTGCCGATTTTGTCTGCCGATTAAAAGCTGATAGCAGGGCATTGAGCCGAGGCTGTGCAGGCGGGGGAGGCTCCCCCTAAAGGTGGAGTTCCAAGATTCTAATTGGCTGCCCGAAACCCAATCCTCACGTCTCTGACGTCGCTATCCTGTTTTGAATTTCATCTTCCGTGCTCTAAGGAGAGGGCGGACCATCAGAGGTACCCAGGTACCTTCGCATCTTGAACCCCGGTGCCAGGCACCTCGCAGCTTCCCGTCTCAATAACACGCGCGTCAAGAGCCCTGTGCGAGACTTTGCCACGTGCGTGCCGCGACTAATCTCTTCATGGTCTAGGGTTCAGGGCGATTCTGGCATGTCTACGCAAGCTAACACGTGTCCCCTGCACTTTGGCATTGTTCTTGGCTTGGTCGTACAAAAGCAGTTCAAATTAATAGCGGAGGGTGGGGTTAAGGAACAGGGACCGGCCCTTAATGCATGGCTAGCAGCCTCCGTCTTCCCGGCGACAGCACTGGGAGCACCAAGGTTGATGCACCGCCCCCGAAGTCCAATTTCAGCATCTTCCACGGCCATCTCGTCGACATGGGCTTTGGGAACCCCGGCCAAGGGTCTATAGGGCTAAAATTCTAGCTGCTCAAAGTATGCCTAGCAGAAAGCAGAGCTCAGGAAACTGAATCATCACCACAATGGAGCGTTCAACCAGTTCTTCCCCAGCCCCACGATGACACGGGTCCCCTTGTTGGCTGTGGCACTTCGCGAGCCTGCTGCCCGCCTAATGTCGGCTTTTTTGCATCTTGGCATCGCGCTACTGGGATTCTGCTTTTCGACCAGTGCTGTGACGACGACTAAGTGCAACCCTGAGAATTGCATAATCGTCGATGCCCCTACAGTCCCTGACAGTTTCTTTTACGGTATCAATCATGGACAAGGCGGCTAGGCACCCCCAGGCGCGCAGACAGTCCCCAGTGCTCTTGTGAACGCAGGCAGTTGACAGCGGGGCTGGACCACAAGTCAGGCGCCTCGCTGGCCATGGACCCCAATTCCCTTCAGAAAGGTGTCATGGACAAGGGCGATGTGGACCTCATGTTCGCCGAGTTCATGAAGCAGCAAGGGGTGGCACAGTGCAGGATTGTACCAAACCAAGCCTTCGGCCCGCGCTTCGCAGCACCCTGTGCCGCAAAGGGCCACTTGGAACAGGCGCGCCTGGATGCAATGAGTGACCTACTGCGTCAATACATCCTGCCCCTCATCACCGAGCGCTTGGAGGAATCTGCGGCCCTCCTGGATGTATTCTTGGGACATCCGACCCCACCGTCCTTGTTGCAGCTCGTCCGCTATGGACTGCCAGTCCGCTGCAGCAGCTACGAGGACTGGCGGCAAGGGCGGCGGCATGCGATTCTGGAGGAATGTCACGACACAGGCAAAGGCTCTGCCAACCAGGTTGGGGCGTTGGTGACTTCGTCAGTCCGACGGGTGGTCAGGAAGGTCATGGGCTACGAGCTGTGGTTGTATCGAAATGCGACAGCACTGTTCGAGACCCACTTGAAGCTCCATGACATCCGAGCCAGCGAGCTGTCTGCATCCCAAGAATTCGCTTGCAAGCCGCAAACTCTACAAGGTTGCTCCAAGAAGGAGGCCAAGTTCATCTCCAGGTGGCAGACTAGGCCACATCCAGAGCTGATGGCCGAGATCGGACGGCTCAAGGGCAACATGGGCAAGTCGGTTACCAGTGACATCAACGCACTCAAGAAGCTTGCATCCTTGGAGAAGCTGCTGGATGCCGCAAAGCCCAAAGAGAGTGAAGAATTGTGATGTTCATGATGCCGGCTGCCGCCTCTCCCCTGCGATCCCATGCGGCTTTACCCCTGCTGCGGAATAGAGTTGGCGGACTCGCACCGGTCTATCTGTTCGATATCTGCCACTTGGTCATGGCAGTGATGTTTGATAAAGTGGCGAGCGATGGTGCCCCGTGCCGAAGGGGGGCGCATCGTCGATTGACAGCTATCCTGGCATACACACTGACGTGAGCCGCAATGTGATGGGGACTGGACCTCATGTTGCAGGAGGGACCTGGACGACAGGCGTGCCATCCACATGCAAGTACAGTACATGCGAGTCGGGCTACTCCTTGGCAACTATCTAGCAGGAGGCAGACCGGCATTAATCTCTTGTGGAGGCCACGCCGGACCGAAGTCCCTGCACAGACTGCATGCTCCGGTGTGCTCAACACCCCGCATTCTGACTGACTTACGCCATGCGGGTCTAAGCAGCAGCTGCAGCTTGCACCTCTCTCGCCGGAATGCCTTCGTAGTTTCTTGCGCATCTGGAAGGAACTCTTGCCACAAGCCGCTGGAAAATCCCTTCAAACCTGCTTCAACGCCGAATAACAGGTTCACCCGGAGGCCCTGAACGTTCGGTTCCGGGCCATAACTGCGCTCCTGCTGTTTTTCGGCCGGCTGTGTGCCGTGAACCTGATTTGGCGAGTCCGTGCGTGAGAGCCCAGAGTTGGAAGTCGATAGAAATAAGTCGCTGATTGGGAAAGCCTAGAGGATCCCAAAAAGATGTCGGCTAAGCCATGCGCCTGGCATCCGAGAGTCGAAAGCTGCAGGCCGAAGTCGCTTCGCTCACCGGGGAACTCGAGAAGGCGCAGTCCGAGGCGCCGGGGATGGCCGATATGTCACGGCGAAAGTGAGGATGCTGATGATGTTGAGGAGAAGGGCTGTCATTTGATATCATGGAGATTCTTGACGATCTGCCATTCTGACTGCCAGCTGGCCGCGGTGTTTGCTGTTGGGTGATGACATCCGTGGCAATGAAGATCATGTAGGCAGTGTGTTTCTTGCTTCGGTGCAAGGGTGGGAATTTAGAGGGTGATGACATCTGTGCCTCGGTCGGCGTGATGGAGGCATGGACAGTCTTCACAATTATTGAGATGAGGAGTCTTCTTGCAGTGGCTGCATCTGTTTTTTGGCTGCATGTTGTGCTTGGCGGCCGTCGCTTCGGAAATAGAACCTCCGGCTCATTCGGGTGCTTCTTAGATGCTGCTTGCTCCAGGACTTAAGCTCTATACGGTGTTATGATGTCAAGCCAACAGGAATCCCTATACAAAACCCCCAAAACCTCAAGATGGTTGTAACTTCCTGCAAACATGCATTTGTGTTGCTTGTTTGTTGTTTGTTTTGTCGTTGGTGTCTTTGCTACCAAAAGTGATGGTGCCGCGCGCCCGTTGCTACCTCATTGAGCCAATGACAGAAACCGCTCAGAAGCCAGATTCTGCTAGTCCTGCTTCTCCCATTAACTGCTGCTGATCCTGCGACCACGACTGACTACCATGCTAATTACAATTATAGTGCTCCTCCTACTACTACTACTACTACTACTACTAGTACTAGTACTACTAAGTGCTACAACTGCTGCTGCTGCTGCTACTACTGCTTCTGCTGCTACTACTACTACCACTACTACTACTACTACTACTACTGCTACTACTACTACTACTACTACTGCTACTACTACTACTACTACTACTAAGTGCTACAACTGCTGCTGCTGCTGCTGCTGCTGCTGCTGCTGCCACTTCTACGACAACTGCCGCTACCACTGCTGCTAGAATTGCGAACAGCTATGTGATGGTCAATGGCGAACACCAATTAAGGCTAGTTAAGCTGTGTTACTGAACACTGGGTGCAGAAACCGAAAATATATAGCCAGCACAAACGTAGACAAGTCGGATGGTTAAGTGGATACAACATTCGACAGTTTAGAGCTGATCTTGATACCAAATCCAAGAGCAACAATGCTGACATGTAACATCAGCGGTAAGGATGATGATAGTGCAGATAGTAGCAAGAGCCAGGCAGAGTCCCTGACCGAGCAAGTGAACAACCTGCTCCAGTCCAGCAGCGGAGACAAGTCGAAGCCGGGACCTTGTGTTCCTGTAGCATTTCCGAATTTTGGAAGGAAGGGGGTGGAGGTATCGAGGCATATGGGAGATGACACTTCGGCTTCTGCATTGCTGGTAGAGACAGCTCAGTTCTGCACGTAGCTATGAGCTGAAGCGCCGCATGCGTCCGTTCTGCATGCCAAGGGCCGAGACACTGCAGAAGAGTGTGGAGGCTCCAAACTCGGGCGAAGTCTCCCGGATTCCCACACTGGTAGAAGGGCATCCGCAGTGCAGCAAAGCTTCCATTGGGGATGTTCCTGCCTGATCGGAATTAAGTCCCCTCAGCTGGGGACTTTGCAGGGTCGAAGGTCTAGAGGGGACGAGCTGATATTATGATCGTGTTAGAGCTTTCAGAGTCGCGCTGGAGGATCGACAAGCTCAGACAGCTAAGCGATGGCAAACAAGCAGAGTGGCAACGTAATTTGGCACGCAGCAGGCAACCGTAACGGATTGTGCGGCAGCCCCAAGGCAAACAACAAGGAGCTGGATGCCACCAGAGGCTCCTGGCATGTTTCTTTCGGTTGCTGAAATGTAGCGAAGCGTCGCTCCGTTCTTATCGGATCTTAGCCGTCGAGCACAGTGCAAGCATTGCCTTCCCGACTCCAAGACTGAAGGGGTCAAGCTATAGCAAGAAGAGTCTAAAGAAACCAAGCCGTACTGACAGGACTGCTTGTCACTCGTCAGCTGGAGGTGGAAGCGCCTGGCCCTCAGGCATCGCACCTTGCACCTTGAGATGCAGGAAAGCTGCAGTGTCGATTCCTTCTGTCCACGGGTGCTTGTGAGTGCGGCGTCGGGTGGAAATGTGTGCTGCCCGGGCCGCAAACGCAATGTCACTTCGCAGTGAGAACTTAAAGTCTGTACTGCAAGGCTGCGTAAGGCATGAGAGCAGTGGAACCTCAGTAGGCGAAAGCTGTTGCAAGGGTTGCAGAATGTAATGTTGGCGCTTCAGGAAACAGGGTCTATTTTTCAAGACAAGGGGGACCTAAACCCTTCCGAACCTCGCCTGGCCGTTGCCCCCTGACGCGTGCTGCAACCAGACACTGTAGCGTTGCGGCTATGGTGCATGCCGCTGCAGGAAACTTTGAGGCCTGGAGTTTCTTGTGGAGCAATGTTGGGGCTTAGCCAGACTCGACTGGCCCTGACCAGTCCGACCTGTTTGCACAAAGCCAGCCAATATCATAACAAGAGCATAAGCCATAAGAGCATATGTGTATTTGTATATGTGTATGCACATAATACGTGGACCAATCTTGCATTGAAGTTTGCAAACGTGGCTCTAAATTCCAGGAACTCCGCTATTTTTGGGAAGGTTTAGCTCCGTGGTCTGTGTGACGTCAGCCGCATAGCAAAACTGCAATCGGCAAACCGCACTTGCTGTGCTGAGGGGTGGGATAGCATTCGCATTGGATTTAGCATTGCTGGGTATACTTGGCTCAAGGAATCTTGAGAATACAATTGCAAAATCCCAAGATGCACAGTATAAGAATGTGCTCGAAGAACTGGTAATGCGAGTAGCAGTGCAGATCCTCGTGGCATGCGTGTAAGACCTGCTATGATAGAACAGCAATGTAAGCGGTACTTCCAGTGTTGGCAATGAAAGTACACCCCTGGTGCAAGCAAGGTTGTCTAATGTTCATTGTATGATTTTTTGAGTTCGTCGTAGTTTGCATTTGTAGTAGTCGTGGTCGTCGTTTTGGTAGTGGTAGTGGCGTTGGTGGTGGTAGTAGTAGTAGCAGTAGTAGTAGTAGTAGTAGTAGGAGCAGCAGCAGCTGCAGCA